CTAATGACGTAATAATGATAAGTGTCCGTGCGACAGTCACTAGGAGATAGGCGCAGCCTGTAACATCCTGCTCCTGTATAGCCTAGTTAATATAACACATCACCACCAAAGTGATGGATGCCCCGGAGATCGAGATGATTGACAGGGCCGTCGACGAATCCGTCACCAAAGGCCTGTCCGAATCCATATAAGCTGCCCCAACTGGTCCAGGCCGCTCTGAGCCAACTCAGCAAATGGAGAAATTGATCCCGTCGCTAACTACTCCTAGGTCGTCAGCAACTTCATCGAGAAAGATCGCAGCCTTGCCCATAAGGCTGCCAGAAACCGGCAAAATCACCATGGCTCCATCCAATGCCGCCCGTGATGAATCCCCGGAAAGAGGGAGTGATGTGGAGCAGGAATCGAACATTTCTGTTATCCCAGAAGAGATGGCCGTCCTCATCGACAATGAAAAGCGAAGGGCAGCAGAAGCAGCTGGCAATATCTCAATTTGCTCCTCATCCATCCACATCGTGGAAAACCACTCTTCTCCCATGCTAACGGGGGAACATAAAAAGTTTATTGACTCCTTTCGAGTCAATCTTCGGGCATCCATCGCCCAATTCATTCAGGTAGGGCCCGGGGCCGCCCCACCAGTACTACCTAAAGTGCCAGCATTTCCCCAGGCAAAGCCCACCACGAGTACGCCTGTGGAAACTGACCAATCCAGCACTGCGGCTCCCAGTGGTTCTAGAGCTAATTCTTGGGCCGCTATTGTCGGAAAAGAAACTCGGAGAGAAAGAGCCCGGGATAAGGAAACTCGGTCAAAGCTGCCTAGTCCTCCAACTGCAAATATTTTATCTAGGCCTAGTCATAGATTGAAGGAGCCAGAGGGAAAAAAGAATGATGGTCTATACCTTCGGATCCCCAAGAACCACGATTAGAGGTCACTTTCGACTGCTGGAATTCGGGTAGCAGTCATTAGTAAGCTTGGCTGTTCCCCGACAAACATTGACAAGATTTTGCCAACAGCAGCTGGCTTCGTTCTCATTGCCAAAGATGATTGCAAGAAAGCTGCTCTTGAGCTGCGCGGGCCGCCTTCCGCAAGATATTAGCCTCGAGCCAGCAAGAAACTGGGCTAGCCTCATGCTACCCAACATACCCGTCCACATTATCTCGCTGGATGGGCAAGTGACTATTTCGGAAAGCCACATTGTTTCTGAAATAGAACGTATCACTAGGATGACACCAAAATCCGTGCGGCGTCACGGTAAGTGCAAGTACGGAGCCAGATACCGTAATTGGGTAGCCGTTTTCGAGAGTGGATCCGCCCCTCGAACGGGATTCCAACTTTTTGACGACTCGGGACGAGCAGCCACAGTCCCGAAGCGTCAAACGCAAGCAATCTGCAAACGTTGCTTTGGGTACCACAGTACCGGCGGCTGCTCTCGGACTCCAGCCTGCCGAAACTGTGGCTCACTGATGCATTCAGAAAGAGAATGTCTTGCTGCAGCTAGATGTCGCAACTGCGGAGGTCCTCATCGCGTAGATAGCCGGAACTGTCTCGCCCGATCCACTCGTGCTGAAGCACTGAATAAGGAGCAGCTCGTCACAATCCAAAACGCCGGCAACCGTGAGTTCGAGGCGGTCAGGAGGGCAAAAGCGGCGGCTGACAAAACGCGAGCAGCTAGCCTCGCCAACACCAGATCAGGGAGTGCGAGTAGCCCAGTATTGAACGGCACAGAGATACTTTAAAGATGTTTAAAGTGGATTGAATTCTCTGTCCTATTCCGATCTCCCCTCACTAGCTTATATACATGTAAACCATTTATCATCTATCATATCATTTCTGTTTGGCCTATCAGTCTTAATTGAGTTGAGCTAATTGAGTACGAAACAGTTTCGGATGTCAATCTCCTGAAAATTATAAGCTCAAGAATCTCTAGCATGAAGCGCGCGCATAAATAAAATGAACGAACATGATTTGGTAAGCCTAATCAAAGCGCGCGCGTAAAGGAAAAGGGAATGACATATGCTGAAAATTTGCAAATTAACTCTCAATCAATAAAAATAAATTTAGCGCGCGCAAATCAATAATAATCCAATCGTGCGCAAAAGACTGGTGCTTCGACACCCAGGTTCGTCTGCCTTACCACCTGCATTAGTCACGCCGACTGATGCCACCCCCCGTTCATGAAAGGCTCCTCACGGCGTCGTTCACCCTACCAAAGCTCAAGTTTATGTCAATAGATGATGGTAGGGGGGTCCAACGCACGAAATTGCGCTTTCTCTAGCTTTCGAGATAGGCATCGATGTTGTGCTCGTACAGGAGCCTTGGTGTTCCAGCGGGACAAAATCTCACCCTAGACACACTCTGCATATCCCGCACGGCGGGATAGGCGTTCAGCCATGAGCCGTAACGTACACTCGAACGAAGGAGAAGGAAATATTTGCTAAACAGATTTTCCCAGGTTTTTCGCTGACCGGAGACTACTGCTGGGTAGTTGTCACCGATGTTACATTTCTCAATGTGTACAAGGCGCACATTAAGGACGCAGCAATCGAACCAGTAATTAACTGGGCACCTCCGCCAGCATCAACAATCGCAGGCGAGTTCAACTCCGTTTACTAGGCATGGCTACCAGGCACGACACGCTCGTATGGTCACGGCGAGAAAATACAGGCCTGGGCTGAGCAACACCGCCTCACCTGTCTTATCATTGGGGAGCCTACGCATCGAGTCGGAAATACGCTTGATCTAGTTTGGACAAATGTCGCGGGGGCATAGGCATGGGTAGAGCGGAGTGAGTGCGTGACAAGCGACCATCTTCCTGTCTGTGGCTTCGTAACTAGTAAAAGTCATGCTGAGATATAATTTCAAGGCTCACTGCGAGTCTCGGAAGAAAAGCTTCCGGACTTTGTACGAGCAGTATCTCAGTGGATCTCAACCCCGCAATCCTTGGTGTCGATTAGCAATGTTGAGAGATTCGCGGAAGCGATTTGTCAGGCCTTAACAGATGGATTGAAAGCGTTCGGAAAGAGACGTAGACAAGGATGCGGTAGGTCTGTGCCCTGGTGGACTCCAAAGTCCAAAGAGGCTCACCTTAACTATCGCCCGGCATACACCGAGGAAGAACGGACTGCCTGCGCCAAAATCCTCAGGTCTACAGTAGCATTAGCCAAGAGAGAGCACTGGAAGAAGCGGATAAAAACGATGCGGTCGTGCTCGGACGTCTACAAGATGATGAAGTGGGCGGCCCCGAAACACCAAAAAATCTAGCCACCCCTTCGGCATGATGGGAAGCTAGTGTCAGGCCAGGTAGAGCGAGCGACGATTCTGCGCGATCTACTATTGGACCGTCACTCGGAAACAGGCAATCTCCCACCTTGCACAAGGCCAGCAGAGCCTCGGAATCCATGGTCTGAGGAGCTATCAGAGCTGAAAGCTCAGTCATGTACTGTCGGGGGAGGTAATACCTATCCTGGTGCAAACGAAATCTCAGTAGAATTGCTAGCCGCATGCTGGAGCAGTATTGGGAGATATATAACACAACTCTTTCAAGTATGCCTGAGACTTGGTTACCATCCGGCATGCTTCAAGCTGGCGGAAGTCGTCTTCCTACCGAAGAGCGGTCGTGATTTATCAACGGCCAAAGGTTGGATACCAATTGCACTCCTCTCGTGTCTAGGCAAAGGGCTAAAAATAATCTTTGCGAAAAGGACGTCAGCCTTGGCCATCACTTTAGACTTTGTAGGCCACCAGCAGTTTGGCGCACTAACAAAATGATTGGCAAATAATCTGGTGTCTTTAGTAGTGCACGATGTCGAGAATGCTCGATCTCAAGGATGGGCATCAACCTTTGTTGGTTTATAGTAATTGATTTTTCATCAGCTGGTTTTCATTACGTCTGTATCAGCTAATGTTGCAGGGGAAAAGAGGTGGTGTATCATATGAAATATACACTAATTATGTAATGATGTAGAGCTGTTTGTACTTATATTTTATGTAGTGCTGAATCCAAAAAAGATTCAAGAACGATTTAAGAAAGTGTCACAAACTCTAGGTTATCGACAGATATCTTGGGTCTACTGATGCTACTCGTACCGTAAGGTGGTCCTATATTCTTTCTAGCCATAAGCTAATTGGCCCCCACCCGACCTCTCGTAGTAGGGCAAAAGTTGGAGTCGTCCAGTAAACAGGAAGAGCGGCTCTAGCTGCGTCTGTAATTCTACGCTGAACGTGCCGTATTACATCCTTTGGGGTACTTTTAGAGCTCCATGTCTCGGTCCCAAAGAAGAGAATAGCGAAGGCTGTTGTTTGAATAGCTTGCCTAAGAAGGGCAGGGCTGATTCCATGGGTGGTGCACGAGAGTCTTTTGAGGTAGCTTGTAATTGCTAGGGTTTTCATACAGGCCTCACTGACATGGTATCTGAAGCATAGGCCCCGATCGAAGTAAATTCCAAGCCAACGGGTGTGATTGTTGAGACTTATCTCTGATCTGCCCGAGCCAATTCGTCGTAATGTGGTGCTATTTCAAAACAGAGACATTGTATCACGTGATACATAGAGACCGGCGTTGCGAGTCATGAAATAGCAGGAAGCAATCCATCAAGCATGTAAACACTGGCATCCATACCTCTAGATAGTTTAGTACGCACTGCTGGTCTGGGTTTCGGCTCGGCGCTCTAAAAGACGAACAACACCAACAAACAAACAAATAACACTATTCATGGCGATATAGGCTCTCTTATCTTGATAGATCTAACCTCGCTGATTGGATAGTTGTCAACAAACGAAAACCGTGACTAATTATCATAGGTTACGCTAGCCATCGAAAGGCATCTGAGAAGGATATCTAGTAAACTCAAATCTATTACCTATCCTTGTCATATGGCATAAAGTTTACGCACGATTCACTGACAACGAAAAATTCCACTTGCAAGTCCTATTTTCGTTCTCCAGCTCCGCCCAAGCTTCGGAAATTTCAGGAACTCATTGAGCCGCCTATCAGGTTGGGAGAATGACACTGAAGGAGCAAGATAAATTGAAGCTGCCAGCCAAGCGAAAGCACCATCAGGTCGCACAAGATGAGCCGGTAGCAGCAATCTTATCCTCATCGTCCTTATCATCAAATCCGGTCAAAAAGCCCAGGTTAAATGCTACGCTTTCAGATTTATCTCATCAATCTGTTGCCACTGCGAATCAAGCAACTCCATCTGCGGTGCCGTCAAAACCAGATTCCGCGCCATTAGGCCCACTATCTCTCGACAAAAACTACGAGCTTCATAATTTCAGTGTTCTCAGCTCCTCTAAGATTTGTACTCGCGTCACTCAGATACTTGCCATACTGTCGTCACCCTTGGCTGCTCAAGGTTCCAAAAATAAGGTAGTACTACTTCACGCAAAGCCAAACGCCGCTGGAAAACTTATCAGCATCGTCGAAATACTCAAAAGAGAAATTTCAGGGAGCACGAGTGACCAGTGGTTTCAATACAATGAGTTGGATAAAGCATTAACAGAGGACACAACTAGTCGGCCTAAAAAAAGCATTCCAGATGTAGAAAAAGATACAACAAATAATTCAGAAAACAAAGAAGGCATACATTTCGAAGTAATGAAAACGCCATATGAAAGATCCATCGAAAGTATCCCGAAAATTCGAACGGATCTTACTCTCAGAATATACCTCTCAAGGGTTCGTATTGAGAGCCTCAAGAAGATATGCGGGTGAGTATTTCGCCTTTTACAAGTAATTCACGTACTGAGACGAATCAAGTGAACAAACAAGCAAAATTTAAGATAGACCCAGAACATTATAGCTAATTTCTTTGGCGGATTCGCAATCACAATTATGGCAGAGGATATGGAATAGAACTCCCGTAATTTTTTGCTACACGATATCTGACAGATCTCTTCCCGCAAAACAGTGTGCTATTTAGATTCGAGTTCAGAACTCCCTACACACTTGAATTTTTTTTGCTAATTCGTCTTCGAACTGACGCTGCTGGTCATAGTTGGGTTAGCCAGCCCCAGGAATTTCGGCTGGCGCTAGAATATCAGCCCATCCTTTCCATTTAATAAAAATAGTCCAGTTTATACCACAAATTTGGATGAGACTTCAAAGTCATCTTTGGCTAAGTCCAACGACACCTCTTTGCAAGTTGTCTTCCCTACGCATGGATATTACGCGGAGAAGAAAATTCACGACTATTCCCATTATAAGTGCTGCTGCAAGTACTGTTGGTCCGATCTTGTCATCGAAGCCTGCCTGGCCTCTTTTCCGGATAGATTTTGCGCGCCAATGATATGTGTATAGAGCATAAACCATTCCACAAACTGCCACTGCCATAAAAACCAGGGCCGAAATAAAGGATGTACGGTCGCCAAAATTCAGCATACCCACAGCTAGTGCACCAAGTATTACAGAAAAATTTAACCACGATAGGAAGGTCCGCTCATTGGCAAAAAAGACTTTGGGTTCAACCCGCGTGGGGAGCGCTATCCGTTTGCCTGTATGAAAATGAGAAACAACCCGGAAGAAGGAGTTCAAGACATTACCAGGGGCTGATTGTAGGAGTGGTTGGCTAGACATGATGGGAAAGTAGATCCCGGCAACGTAGCCCGTAATGAGAGAAGAGAAGGAACGAGAAACCACGGGCTTGAGAGAATATAATTTTTTAGAATATATTGAGTTTTCGTTAATACCGTTAAAGATGAACGCGAATATTGCGAAGCCTTAGATGAATTGCAGCTGATAGTGATCTGGTTCGATGGCGGTCGTTCACTCTAGTCTCAGATCAGACCCAAGGCACGTCTAACGCTGCGTAAGCGTTAATAAGCGCGCGCTTGTTAGGTCGGCAAATCCTAAACAGCACTATCCAATAAATATATAGCTGCACGTGCGAGGGGCCCGTCATCAGCCTGCTTTTCGGCGTATGTTCGGCCGTTGACCGATTGCATAAGGCCTGTCTCTCACACCCCAATAAATGTCCATTTCCTGAATATCAGGCGTAATAATGGCCGAAAAATCTATCACACCAGTGAGTTACAAGTTAAGATATGAGATTTTTCGGTAGCAAACTAATTGCAATATCAGCCTATCTCTGCCACGCGCTTAAATCAAATCGCCAACGATGTACCTCCTCATCTAACCTGCTCGCCCTTGAGGCTTTCAAACTCATGACTGAAATTGTATAGGCTTGCCAGGCTGCGCTCGGATCAGTTGAATATTACGAGCATTCGAAAACAGAGGCATGGAACACCATGATAATCGTTTGTTGGCCCATCTCTGCCACTTCAGTATTCCGCGGCTAACAGGGAATTTGCAGAATAGCATTCTCCGCTCTCTCGTCTCAGAATCGCCGACAACATCAGATGCCAACCCTTCATACAAATATACTGTCAATAGTACCATAATCCAACACCTTGTGCCGACTACTGCCATCCAGCGGGCCAAGGCTATGCAAGAAAGTCCTCAACAGTCTATTAATAATACTACAGATGTTTCCGGTATCAAGAAAATTGAAACTTTAGGAACGGATGGAAAGCCTCACGTAGGTCGAAGAGGTATGCATAGTGCAACGGGCGCGTATTGGAACGAGAAAACAGATGGGATGTGGAGTTTCAAGTTTGAGGGTGGTGAGAAAAAAGGCTTAGACGCTGTAATAAGTATTGTCTGGATAGCGATATAAAATTCGGACTTTTGAGGAAAGAAACCGCAGTGAAAAAATGACCTGTCAGTAAGGCCCGCCATCCGCAGTGATTGCAACGCAAACCAAAGCCCTTGAAACTTTATGAATGGATGTTGAGTTTTGGCAACAGGAAGACTGTGGCATACAACAAAAACCAAATGTACAGACTCTAATCAGGCTCCAACGAACCCAGCCACTACAAGCTTGGGTGTTCTAGGCCTGTGGTTTTCTCACTCATTCCTAATTATTGGCTTGTAGTATTTAATCTTATTTAGGGCATAAGTTATACTGAGACGCGCTCGAAATAGGCTATTAATAAAGTAATAGTTAGATATTATACACGTATATAAAAAAACTTTATATCAAAGTGACTTGAACGATACTAAGTGTATCCAACCGCTATTTCTATCTTGGTGCAAAATTCGTGATACAATTCACAAACCTAATCACTCAATATTTTCTCTGCGGTGATCCCAACCAAGTGATCTATAGGAAGTGAAATTGTTCTTCCGTTCCATGAAGTTTGGACAATGCTGTTAGCACAATTGAAATTAATGCACTCATAAGTCTGTGTATCCACGCGACCACAGGAGGCACAGGTGCTACTTTCCCTTCAATTACCCTAAATTTTGTAGAATAAGGTATAATTATCCGATTATATATTACCAAACATGTTGCCGCATGTCCGTAGGAAAAGTCTTATGATATTGTCTCCGTGACAACCCAACATGTAAAGCTGAGCCAGGTGACTTTACTTCTTGTATCGCGGTGACCCTCAGGGTAGCACTTTGCGTCCGAGCCCACAGTATAAGATCACCTACCCAACTTTTGAAATGGACAATTGCACATAAATATAATATAAAAACTGCCATAAGTGTATCCTACATTCCTATATGTCACGCCAATTTACTTTTTAACCATGCATCTATGTCCTGGTCAGCTGGCGCCCCCGAGAACCGTCCTGTATTAAACCGGAGGGAAGAGCATGAATCTTCGGCGCCACCCAATTCTAGATGCTCCACAAGCTCCGGTATTCTGTTACTGCCAACAGAACTGCTGCTTGAGATATTCAGTAATCTCGATCAGATTGACTCGTGCGCCTTGGGTCTTTCGTCTAATTTTCTTTATGGCATATATCGCGCCCTGCATGGCATCAAGATGCCACTTAGTACTCGCCGACTCGGTCCTAACTCGCTCGAATCAGCCTGGCAAATAGCGGGTTTCATGTGCGGTCAGTGTGGGATCCAGCGATGCGAGCTTTACCAACACATCAAATCATGGATGCCTCCAGATCTGGAATATTGCGCCATGAAACGAACTTTTGGGATCCGTTCTCAATCCGAATTATATGCTACTTGTTATCGCAATAGGCCTAGAACACCAAGCTGGTGTGGTCGACATCCCTTGCGAACAATGGTAATAAGCCAAGCCAATCTATCTGGTGACCATTTCTAGCACCTTGTTTCTCGCCATAATAACATAGATCTGGCTTCAATAATGTAAGGATTCATTTGTATGTGAGTTTGACGCAGTTTATTTGTTGACCAAAATCTTCAATCTAACGTTTCTGCTCAGATTTTAAATTCCCACCAGTATGTTGGCCTATCAACAGCTTGCAAGTTAAATTCTTGCTATTCCATTTCTATATGAAAGCTACTTGACGACAAGCACTAGCTTTTAACAATTTTTGATTGCCACATGAGCTGCGGCACTAAGATGTGAAGGGCCGAGGATGAGGCTAGCACTGGGTGTGTTCCATGTTTCATGATAACAATAAACTTAGTATTCTAGTAATCATATTTTGATCCGGATGAGATAGCGTACAAGCTCTCTGCAGATTGTGTGATGGAAGGCTTTAAGGAGTTATTGGATTAATTGCTGGGGCTATCTAACTCTGGGTGGTTCAGAAGCTATTAGGTCCAGTCCTCTTTCATTGGTGAGAAATAAATCTAAATTATAGTGATATTTCAGTTGAGTGACTTCAATTCGCTTTTCCATTGCGTCATTCTATTGATGCGATTTATAGTAATATTTACGCATGCACACATTGCAAATGCTTCAGTCACCTTCCCAAACCTTCCGAATTATGAATAACCTCACAGGATTGTAAAACATTTTCGTTGAGTCGTGGTGTACATGTCATAGCTGGGGGATAGACAAGCTTTGAGAAGAGGAATAGATGGACTATTTACAAAGCTTGCCTCTTTTTTGCAGTATTCATGAGTTCCGTGAATAATCTTTTGTGCAGTGTTATTTTCTCCATAACTCGGAGCAATATTGTTGCAACGTATTTATTTCTTCTTGGTGGCGCTTTCAACAGCTTTCTTTGCGTCCGCTACTGCGAGGTTAGTTCGAAGCCATTTGCAGGAGGGGAGGGATCCGACCGGCTGCCTGTTTTTCTCGCATCTTCTGTGCGACCTTTTCCTTCTCGCGTTGCATTTCAGGGCCCGACATGCTGTTGCCTTTCTTCTGTAGGAAATAATGTGCGTTACTATTTAGATCCAGATCTTTTTCAAAGTGGTTGAGGATATCGTACCTGTTCTGCCAGCTTCTTCAAATTGGCTTCGCGGGCCTTGTCTCGCTGGTTGCCTCTAGCCATCCTCAGCAATAGAATATTTCCGTGATTACGAAGAAATAGATGGTTTGCGATTGAGTGTGCCGCCTGATACGAGGTCCTCGACAAGCCTACTGGCGAGGGACTTTTACCTCTCGAAAATTAAAACTTGGCGCTTTGTGAATGTCACTATGCCATTCCCTCAGGAATACTCGGCCGAGCGAAATAAATTACCTAGGTCCGTGCCCCAATAACCCCTGACTCTGCTGCTATGGAAGCTTACAGCGGGTAGGGCCAGCGATCTCACCCACATAACTTTGCAAGTACAAGAGCGATTCGCTACCAATCATTGAGCTCTGAAACAAGGAGCTGTTTCGTCAATAAGCCTATCCAAGCAAACGTGCAGCTTGTATCTTTGTTTGCGATTTTTATGTCACAGGGCGGCGGGCCGCCGTGAATGTAACATATTCAGCTTGATATCTATTTAAGTTTACTAGATTTGTCTGCCACCACCATTCATTTGTTGTGTCTAGGTGGTCAATGGAACGATCAAAGACTTCTCATCAACTAGTCCAATCAATGGCTTTTAAAGAACAGTATCCCTCGTTTGCAGGGAGATGGTACCTTATGAGTGCTCTAGCAGGACTCATCTTTGCAGTTCAGCTCGATATATAGAATACCAGACAGTCCTCAATAGAATCAAACTCTGCTTACATCGGCCATGCCAAAATAGCCAACTTTTCCTGATTACATTGCATCTGCTTAAACAATAGCCTGTATCAATCTTCAATCTCTCATTTGTCTACGCTTTCGGCACTTACTTTGCAACATAAACTTCGGATCCTGGTCCGCAGACATCTACTTAGCGACGCTAAAGTGAAGTTCATTGACGGTAACTACGAAAGATTCTCGCTAGTCTTAACTGTTCGCCATACTATCACCTATCGCGCGCTGGACTACAAGTCACCATGCATTCCAGACCCAGGTTAGCCGGAATAGGGTATATCACCTTAAATATACTTCGAGGAGCCAATATCATCTCGCTTATCTTAGTCGTGGTCGCTATGTGGATCATATTGGTTATGACATTCGAAAACAATAATTTCTTTTTCTTCGACGGCATGTCTCACTTTGTTGTGAGCACCGCTAGCATATTTTTACTTACCTCAGAGTTGACGTTATTCAAATCTTATTTCTCCAAATTTTGGCCTCTGTTAAGTCTCGGGTCCGGTCTTGTATTTTTGGGCCTGTCCATGCTAGCTCTTGGTTTCCATGTACTGGGTAACCTCAACAAACCTGCGGCAAAAGTTGAAAACTTAGGCTTGTCAATGTGGCGTATCGTCATTTCCTCCGGTATACTTACCTCCTTTCTCGGCCTCTTCAACATCTTGGCTACCTACATATTTTGCGATAGCACCACTGGTATCACCGGAAGACAACTTCGGACCTTCGGTGTTGTCTATAGCCCTCCCGCACCGGATTGTTTCACTACCCCTGCCACCCTAAGCGGTTCGATGCGCCAACCCGAGTCTACATCGTTTCATGCCAACAGCTCGGTCACGAGACGCGGCCCTTTCCACTTACACCTCCCAAACGCAATTCGAAGTTCCTTGCGACCTCAATCTTTCGATAAGCAACCCTCTGTGACGACGATATCTGTCCCTCACGACCTCGAGGCGACGGCGCACCAAGCTTCAAGAATGTCGCCCGTAATTCCAGACTTACAGCGGCCGCCTACTGCACTTCACCCAGCATTTAATCAACGTGATAAGCTCGACTCTGTATCGTCTGAGAAAAATGAGTGCCAGGAATATGATTAGGATGAGTTGCTGTGTAAGTATATGGATCGTGGTAACAGTGTTTGAGTAGCGAACTGAATTATAGGATCCGCTGCCTAGGGACCGTGTCGCGCCAAAATCCCTCTCGCATCGGTCCGTAAGCTTGAATGGCTCAGCTATACTGGTCGGAGCTAGTGCAAGACAGCTGGACTGTCTTGAAATAGCAAGTTTGAGTACTGCACAAACGACCTACGTAGCATGAACGCCACAGGCTTTTAAACGTGAACAATTGAGAATCCATACATGGAAATGTGCAGTCCACTCGGCCACATGAGATTTCAAGGCCTCTAGGAAGCTGATCATTATGTTGGGAGCTCATGCTTTGATGAAGGGATAGTCACTGGAAGGAACGTTTGGTTAGGTATTTGTTTGGTGCGCGGGAAAATGTAAAATTCAAGATATGAAGTTACACGTTATTTAAAGACGGGATTTATGAATACTAAAATAGTTGCTCTTTAGGCAATTAAGGCATCCGCTCAAAATTGCCAACGCAAAGCTTATTTTTCGCCCGCCTTGTTTTCGGATATCCCATAAGATTAAGACATCTTGAATCAAATCCCAATTCAAATTCGACCAGTGTGATTCTGATGACTAGTCAGTGCAGAATTTTATGCCTGAAAAAGAGTCTTGAAAGCTTCAGTTACCACTACCTCCCTTCCTGTTAGTCCACCCTGAGCCCCCGACAATACACGCTCCATTGTTGAATATCTTTTACAACTGCAATAAGACCTGTGCTATGGTTAAGTCAACGCTAAAGTGTAATTTATATGCTTAATATCCATTCAATGTCATTCTTTGCGAACTGCGGCTCAGCTCACGATCGGCCGCTGGGCTGATGGGTCTACTGCCGGCATGTCCTCCAGCTGCGCTGCTCTCCTTGAGAGCAAGTAATGACTTTGCACGGAAAGTTTCGTAGTGCGTTTGAGAAGTTGTTTCAATCAATTCTTGTAGGTGAGTTCGGGTCAAAAAATTACGAAGGTAAACAAATTCACAATGGTTTTCATCCTCAACATTGATGACGCCCCATCGGTTTTGTCGCCCTCTAACTTGCTTTCCACTGACAATGATGGACTTTTCTGAGCCAACGACCGCAAATGGGATTATGTTCTACGATGTGTCAAATAAGTTTCTTGAAGTTTTCAGCTCAGACAAACCTTGATGTGAGCATTCAATGCACGTTCTTCCTCATCAAACTCGTCATTATCATATGGGAACATTTTAAGATTGTGGAAAGTGAATTCCTCCTTGATACGCTCCTTGAAAGCGCTACGTTCCTCCATCGTTAGTGTATCAGACTTGGCGATAACCGGTACTACATTGACGACATCCGATAACTTCTTCAACACGACAATGTCGATTGGCTTGAGTGCGTGGCCTGAAGGTTGAATGAAGAAAAGACAACAATGAATACGCGTGTCTTGAATGTACCGCTCGCGTTGAGCCGTGAGTTCTTTGCGAAGATATGCAGAGTGTTGGTCTTTAATATATTTGACAATGGGATCCCAGCATCTATCATTATTTACTTGGTCTCCGTAGCCGGGCGTATCCACAATGTTGAGCCGTAAGCGGACACCATTCTCTTCGATGATATGAGAGACAGTTTGAATCTCGGTAGTCGATCTTACTGGTTCGTCCGGGGTAAGTCTTCCTTTAGAATCGATCAAGTGTGAAGCAAAGATAGTATTGATTAATGTCGACTTTCCCAACCCAGTTTGACCTTTATATGTTTAGAGCATGAGTTGATAGGGTCCGACGCTCACTCACCAACACAAATGATGTTGAACTGGAAACCGCGTTTTAAGAGCTTACGCTCAATTTGAGAAGTGATGCTATCGAAGCCGACGTGGCTACGAGGATAAACTGACTGCTGGGGAGCGTTTCTACCTTGCGCCGTGGCCATTATTGCTAATTCTTCAGGCACAATCGATATAAAATTTGGAGAGTGCGTTTGGCAAGCAGAAGGCTACGGCACAATACACTATGACCCTATAAGTTGGAGTTGTCTCAATGCAAGGAGTAGCTAAAAAAAGGAGAGGGTGTGCGCTAAGGATGTTTTCGGATATAGGGCCCGTGCATACCCTGATAGCAAATGTATGTTCGCGTTTCTGCATATTCGGCACAGAAATATTGTTCCCACTAGACAAGATAGTGTACAGGATATCATTTGTACGAAAGTTACAACCATTAGTATCTTGTCGTTGAGATGCCTGCTATATATCAGGCGAGGTTATCGACATTATCAACGGCTGCAATCCGAGTATCTTCCAAGTTTACGAACACCTCGTACCTTCCCACAACCCTCTCGAGACGAATTTCCAGCGCTGTTATATCACGGCCTTGGATTGATGCTTTTCCTGCAATTTCTCTAGTCATCCCGGAATGGATTGGAGATGTTTGGGAATCAGTACTGCGCGCAGTCCCAAAGAAGAAGACGTCACACATGAAGAAGAGGTCGCGTCAGCGAGCTGGGAAGGCGTTGAAAGATGTTACATCCCTGGGTAGATGTTCAGGATGCGGCCACACAAAGAGAGCACATGTTCTATGTCCCTATTGTGTCAAGGGTGTGTTTTTGGAGTCCTATCACTTGTGGGCTTGTACTAATAATTTTGTAGAGATAAGAGACATGTGGAAGGGACTTGCTGAGAAAAAGACGGCAGAGAAGCCTGCCAACCCGTCGGATACTTGAACAGAGGGCTTGTTGCAAACAGGAGTACTTCAAAAATTATTTTAGTTTCAGGCGTTTGGCTGGGAAGCTCTGTTTTCCCCCTTAATAACTTCCAAAATGAAAAAATATCCGGCTACAATTTTCACTCAAATTCTCACAAATCAGAGCAAATTTTTATAACTATTTTCCCTGTATGGTCTAGAAGTATTCAGGAGACGAAGACCCTACCTGCCTTTGGTAGAGTGCCCTCTCCCGTTCCTCACTTACATACACCTGCCGATCGCACAATTCCTCCCAAATGTTCATCCTATTGTTCACCTAGAGTAGCCTCTCGCTCTCCAATGTCTCCCCTCTCTAGCCAAAAAAAAGGGGGCTGGTATAGGGAGTTAAACACGCCGAAAATATCGGCAGAATCAACAGGTGCGAAGTTAAGTATACACTGATATCAGTGCTCAATTTAAAAGCGTAGCTGCCATTATGAAATATCCCAAGAGGCCGGCTGGCCGGGTACTTCGGACTGTTGTGTGCCTAAGGAGGCTATTTTCAGCCTTGCCAGACTCATGGTAAGTCTTCCGATCCAACGCACCTTGGATCAATCTAAAGGTCGAATCGAGACATTTGAAAGGTTCTAACAGAGAACGTGAATTTTAAAGAAGCCAGGCCCAACTTATATTTACGATAACTGACAGTGAAAATTATCGTAGACCCATTGACAATCGTAGATCTAATGGCTAGGGCTAGACTTAATCTCGGCTCTGCAGGCTCCATGCGGAAAGCTGGTGAATCAGAGGAAACACCGCTGTTAGATACTGAATCTTCGTCCCCCAGTCATCAGTGTTGAATGAGTGGTCTATTATGTGCTCCATGATGGTTGTTCTTCTAATGGTCATGGTCACTGGGGTTTGAAAAAGTTAAGCCGTACAGCCTTCGACTTTGTTCCGCGCAACGTCTGCCGAAAACTTTTTATAGGATACGCACGTCAGACATCTGCGACCATGGTATGAAACTTGACCCTAACTCACGAGTAGTAATTGTTAAAGATTATTTAGTCAAAGCAGTATCTGAATTCTAAGACAATTGCAGATGGTACAACATCTTGTCCTTTTGCAGGCACGCAAAGCACAAACTAACACTAGTTTGTGTAGCTCACGCCACGGATATTTTCACCCTCGCTGTAACACGCTCTCATATTCTTTCTGCTTCGGGCGCATCGTCAATCAAAGTTTATGACACGACAGACTCTGATTACCCGCTTTCCCAGACACTCAGCGGAGCCCATCCGCTTGGGTGTCACCATATCGTTACGTCCCGCAACGGCAATCGTGCAGTCAGTGCAGGCTTTGGGGGGGAGGCAAAGATCTGGGACTACGGCGAATCAGAGGGATGGGTGAGCGCTGGGGATATCGTTGATGGCAACAAAGTCGGCGAGATATGGGCAATTGCGTTGAGCGAGGACGGACTTACGCTGGCGAGTACTTCGTATGACGGTCGCATTAACGTCTGGGATCTCGCCAATGGCCACAAGAAGATTCAAGAATATGAAACAAAGGGTAGCTTTGGTCTCTGCATTGATATAAGCCGCGACGGAAAGCTGATCGCAAGTGGACACGAGAACGGTGCAATTTATCTGTTTAGCATTGAAACAGGCCGGATGCTCCATTCTCTACCCGGTCCGAGAAACACCTTCCGCGTGCACGTAAGACAAATACTAATAATCTACAGGTCTCGTGAAGCCAGTTCGCGCTGTTGCCTTCAACCCAGCCGCCACCTTTTTAGCAGCGTCGGGAGATGCACGCATCATTGCATTATACGATGTCAACTTTGGAGAGCAGTTTGCTAGTCTCACCGGACACTCGACTTGGGTCTTTTCCTTGGATTGGAATGAGACGGGAGAGAATATCCTCAGTTCTTCGTTTGATGGAAAAGTCAAGGTCTGGTCGGTGAATCTGCGAATGTGTGTGGCTACTCATGGCGAGGCCGAGAAAACCTTGTGGTGCACTAAATGGCTTCCTTTTGTCGAAAAGAACGAGAGATTTGTCACTGCAGGATCCAGCCGGAGTATTACAGTCTATCGAGAAGCGACCGGCTGCTAGAGATCCAAACTACATAGCTATATTACTCTATCAAGCTATTTATGAATTTGGTGCTACAAGACCTTACAACGAACTGCGAGTATCTTTGCTGATAATTTTCACTGTTATCTCGTAAAGTTCCTTTTAGATCTCAATTTCTCATAAACGCTCCATTGTCATTCAATCAGGATTGTCTAATAACGCGAACAAAAATCCTCCTTTTTTCTGGCCTCATGACGTCATCGAGCATAGGAATAGGTATTCAAAGGTTTCTAGCCACGACAGGATCCATTTATTTTGCCATTTAGACCTTCTTACCAGCTCTTCTCTAGGTCAATTTTTTGTGAAGGAATCAGTTGCGCATAATATTAATATAGTGATTTTGAATTTGATTTCATTATCCTGATTTGGCGCCCTATGGGCCCATGCAGGTGTCTACAGTCTGTAATAATTACCCGGGAGGAAACCTCTATGGTGAAAACCTCCCACATATTTCTATTTATTGTCTATAGTTTTAACAAATTTTCTTCAGGAAGCGCAGTTACAATATAGTGCCATCCATATAAACTAACCAGATCATCTCTATCCGCCCCAAGCATTGTTTGACCTTTTCCTTTCCCTCAGCAGTATTTCGACCGCTTTTGTCATCTGGGATTGCTCTATCCAACCATGGTTTAGGATCCACTGTGTTATCCTTTTTATATCTCCAGGATTATTTATCATCGCTTCGTAGGTTTCGATCTTTGGCTTGTCTCCAGGTCTCAGCTCAACCATTTGACCATCGAGGGCAGGACATAATCATATGCTTGGGGTTCTGTGATTGGTAGCCGCATGGACAACCTGGACTTAATACTCCGGGTACGTTTCTTCTGTGTAAACACGAGTTAAACCCCATGTGCTCACTTCGTATTTGCATTTCCAAACTGCTTTGGAATATAGTGATTGTTTATGTTATTGGATCCTAAGTTGAGTTGGAGCACACCTTATAGATCAGTATCACGTATTTACAAGGACGAGTATTGGGAATGAAGCCACACAGTTTTTGGGATCTTTTAATATTTCATGTTATCTATATTTTCGTCACGATTTAGTATCTAACACAGGGATCATGATGTGTGAAGATATAGCACTACAGGTAATTAAGGGATACATGAGCGGCAATATGGCACAGATGGAGCGAAATTGAGTTTGGTTCCATCAAGAAACTTGAGGCGATGACTACCTAACTAATTAGGCTTCTATCTAACCTTAGCCACATCTTGGATAGTGCTCCTACACTCTTTCTTAAAGGATCTCTGATATATTTTCCACGCTTGATTTCCATTCAGCTCATTTGTTACTCCTGGAATTCCACGTCTTTTCCAGGGAACTCTCCACCCAGAAAACTTAAATATGCTAGTATCGGGAACTGCATGCGCAGGAAAAGTTTAAAAAACCCGCAGCCCCAGCCAGGCGAGGCCTAGACGCCGGGACCACATGAGGTGCGCATGTCTATCCATGTCTCCCTTTCTTGTATGATTCAAGGCCGGCTTGATCCTATCCACCATCGTCGTATCTAGTGCTGGGCACGCTCCGGGAACTCATCGGATAGCTTTCCCTCCATGATCAAGGGTTAGTGATGAGCAGGGCTTCAACCCTGCCATCTGATCCGATCGGTTCTGGCTTCATGATAATGGTGCCAAAAAGATTGTGCTGAGGGATGAAGATGATGCAGATTACGAGAGCGATTGAGAGTCCTCATCGAAGTGAGGACGAAAAGTTATTCAATATCGGCTCTGCAGACTCTACAGTGAGAACTTGAGGTTCATAGGTGACACCGCTAACAGGTATCGAGTTTTCGTATCCCATCCCAAAAGGAGGTTAAATTACGAGATTTCATGGCAAATGCTATACACAATCATAACAAAGAAGGGTTAAGAGACGAGGGTGATTGTGAGCGATATGTTCATTGTGCCACTTGAGTCTATGAATATCTAGCACATTGAGCTCCCCTATGACCCATGTCACACCTTGTACAGTGCTCCTTGCCTCTTACATTACTTGAAGGATTGGCGTCACCAACTTCCTTAGATATGAGAATATTTGTACCATTCATCTATTCAGGGAAGTGCTGAAGAAAAAGCAAAATTCTAGGATTCCCTAAGTATTTAGTGTAACTTTCGTTCGGTACTAGCTGGAAAGTTATTACACAGTGCTTACAAACTGTAACTGTGAGTATATTTGGGGGTTAGGATGAACCGAAATGTAGTCGGACGTAATAAATTTGTATGCAGCGCATCGATTGATATCTAGCATACTGCCTATTGAAGAATCAACTGAAAAAGTTTTTGGCTCTACATCATTATGGTGCAACTTGGTGAACCAATAATGGGGATCCTAACAACAAATCAAGGAAACCTCAATTAGAACGAAAAAGAAAAGTTGTATTTAAATAGTTGTCCTTCATACTTAGAAACTCAATTAGGACATAAATGGATTATATATTATAGTGCAACCGACACTTTTGCAACAGGCGACGATGGAAGAGTGAAAGTCCCTAGCACGAAGGTCTCGAGTCTTATCAGCGAATGCACCCACTACATGAGGGGGACTATTCTCAACACCTGCCAGTGGTGTCCCCTACGAACCTCCAGCTCTCACTGTCGAGTCTGCAGAGCCGAGATTGAGTAGCAAATTCCTCACTTTGACGAGGATTCCCAATCGCTTTCGCCGTCTGTATCGTCTTCATCTCTCAACACCATCCCCTACCACCATTATCAGGGGGACCATTCTCAACACCTGTCAGCGGTGTCCCCTACGAACCTCCAGCTCTCACTGTAGAGTCTGCAGAGCCGAGATTGAGTAACAAAGTCCTCACTTCGAAGAGGATTCCCAATCGCTTTCGCGGTCTGTATCGTCTTCATCTCTCAACACATTCCCCTATCACCATTATCATGAAGCTAACCACGATCAGATCAGATGGTAGGGTCGGAGCCCAACTCATCACCAAACCTTGATCACGGAGGAAAAGCCATCCGATGAGTTTCCGGAGCGTACCCAGCACCCGATACGGAGATAGTGGATTGGATCAAGTCGGCCTCGACTGTTACAAAGAAGGGAGATATAGATGAATATGCGCACCTCATGTGGTCCCGGTGTCTAGGCCTCGCCTGGCTGGGGCTGCAGGTTTTTTGAGACTTTTTCCCGCGCACGCAGTTTCCATTGCTACCATTTTTTTTTTGGGCAGAAGGTTCCGTGGAAAAGGTGGCTGAATACCACGGGTAAATACTGAGCTGAATGGCTATTCACCAAGGGCAATATGTCAATGATCTTTCAAGTAACAAAAGAGGCAAGGAGCACTGTACAAGGTATGGCCTGGGTCAGAGAGGAGCCCAATGTGCTAGATAGTCATAGACTGAAGAACTACAATAAAATACAACAATAACAACAACTACATGATCAATCCAAATGTCAAACCAAGTTATTGTCGTATACAGTCGTCGGGGAAGCTAGTCTTCTCCTTGTCATGCTCTTTGAGTGCAGGGCTTGGGCCTATCACGAATATACATACATTTATTCATTGGCTCTGTATCATGTTGAATTAGACCAATAAGATTCTTTACTTATGTACTAGCGGGAAAGGCGCCCTCCCAATGAGTGTACACGCTCGGACCATCTACTGTGCCTGCACAACTCCGAGACCCATATCCCAGACCCCTCGCTCCTGATGTGTCACTTAACTGTATGAGTCGAGCTGACTATGCGCAGCTATGCATCTGCTCATACAAACCTTACAATAACATAAATATCTTGATAGTGTAATCCTCTAAGCAGGTATCGCGCTAGCTTCAAATAATAACGAACATTTGATCCGAACTTCCTCATTTCAACAAGAAGTAAAATTGTACGGCCAAACCCCAGAAAGTTCGAGTGTGAAACGCATTCATATGATCTTATTGAAGCCAAGTAGAAGATGTTTAGTTCTCATGTAAGAAGAATATAGGCATCTCAATGTACACTGACTAGACCCTCATCATAACCCAATTACCAAGTGAACAAGGCGCAGGGCGTTTTTTGTCCAGGCAATTCTCTTTATTTCTTCTTTCCATGTAATCAATCGGCCTAGAGAGCTGGTCAGATGGGTAGTAGTGAGTCTTTAGGGATCACATAGCCGTATCATGCCGCTTGGGTGTAGGGCTTTTGCCTGTTACGAAGTTTATACATACATATCCCAATTTTCCACCCTTGACTTCTTACGGATCGTATATTTGCCCTTTTCGGAAAAAATCATCAGATTTTGATTGCGTATGCAGCTATCTAGCTACGACAAAATATCAGAGAAAAAGTACAGAAAAGATGACTCAATATACAAGAAGAGCATCCATGCCTCGGGTTTCATTTGCAAGTACCACTGCGAAGTGATGGCGGCCTTTTCCTCACCCCAAGGCCTCCCTCATCCGTGGATACCCACCCAGGGAAACGTCTCAAAAATCCCGAGTTATCCAGATACGCCTCCATCATCCATTTACTTTTCTCCCCGCAAAATGTGATCTGAGATGTCTCCTTCCCGAGTGGAGTAGGTGCCTAGGCTACTCAAACTATGTCAGAGAACACCACCAGGAGGCGGACCATAGAGTCTTCTATCGTTGACTTGTGTTTATTGTGTCAGTTATACTCTCGTAATCGAAGTATTGGCGCGCAGAAAGCCTTTCGATTTGTAAATCTCTTAACCAAAATTCGAAATCTCATATCCGTCGAGAATGTATCCTTCTTTTGCATTATCTTTTAAACTTGTCCTGATCCCTCTCACGTCCATCCCAAAGGACCGCCTCCCAGATCAATGCACCACGTTTCGTCTCCTTCGTCGGGTATTCATGTTCTTGTCGGCGTGTATGTGGGGGCCAATGGAGGCCAGAGACAGATGTCGCGAGAGGCGTGTTCATTGAAATAAGGATGTACTAGCTCGTACTTGCAGACTTGACGAGGCTTCGATAGGATTCGAACTCGTTGGGTGTGAAAAATTGACGTGGTGGAATATTTTAAATCATTGCCTCGTGGGCCAGCTTTTCCTGCATTGCGAAATCCAACTGAAAGCAGTTCTGGAAGAATATTTGAAACCCAGACTCGCAGATAAAACCGCGTATAAGGTTTCATTCTTTGCCTTCTGGCGGCCTGATATTCATCTGGAACGAGTATAATGATCTTCATGGTCATTATCTGATCCAGCTCGGCCCCAACCAGGCAAGCTTTTACGAGACTATTGGGAGTGCCATTTTTAGAGCGCGTTACTACATTTATTTCCTCACAAATATTATCTCCTGTAACTTAAGGTCTTACGTTACCGTAGTCAGCGGCCAATAGTCTCTTTCAAGGACACTTTAACTCTTGTTCGCTACCAATGGTAGCTTGAAATATTAATCATTCTTGGTCTATAGTATTTTGACATCACATTTCATTTTATTTTCGGGACTTACACCTCGGAAACCCTTTTCATGATTCGAAGGAACCTCGATTGCATTCTGCGTTGGAGAAATACTTCAAGTAAATATTAAAATATTAAAATCTTATCATGTGACTGAAAATATTAGAATGATTAATTACTTGCCAGCTTTCTAAACATAAAGATACCGCTCCATTATATACACGTCTCCTGTACTTGCCTAAACTCCAAATGATTACGCCAATGCTACTCGGTCGTCAACTGAAACTTCTTGACTCAATTACGTCTCCCACTGCCTACATATCATTACTAAGGTGCCACGATTTCAAGTTTTCAGTGGATTTAAATGGGGCGCATATTCGCTTCAGGTGTTGAACCCCTGTAAGCGCCCAATTCGACAGGGTACATAATTCTTGTCCTGTATTTCCAGGCCTAAACCAAGGGCACAATTTGAATTCATGTCACCCTCAGTTTTATGCAAATCCAACCTTTTCTCTAGATGTTTACCATCACTTTTATGACCGCCGACCGCTAATAAATTACACAGCTCTTCTCATCTTGTGCTTGAGTGACAATAAGAATTATATTTCTCAAACAAGAAGTTATTTATTCAGAAAACACATGGCTTTACCAGATACCAACCTTATTTTGCAGATGAACCCACCTCAAACCCCACCTTCAACGTCTCGAATCAAACGATTATCCAGAGATCTAACCATTTTAATAAGGAGAAAAATGAAAATGAACGAATTGAAATTAAAAGAAATTTTAAGATTTATGGGCTCCATGAATCTGTCAAAACCTAGACGCAGATTGCCGTGCAACTAGGCATTTCTCGGGGACAAGTTAGTTTTTCACTGCGCCGCGGAACTGTCCCCCCCAAAAAGATAAAAAGAACATCCTCAAGACTGAAAGCAGATGATGTTGATCAGATTACATCTTACTTTGAGTATTACCTTAAAACCGCCGCAAAACATTTTTGGAACTCGCCTCTGGCCCCTTTAGACATCTTGGTGTTAGCGAGCGGGTAATACAAAAAGGGTTTAAAAAAGAAGATATCAGCGACATGTGGCTCGTCTAAAGCCTGCAGTATCTCAGAAAACTATGAAGACACGCAGAGAATGGGCCGAAGCTCATCTCAATTGGACATATGAAGACTGGACGTCAGTTTTATGGACATACGAAACTTGGGTAGAGGATGGAAGACATTCTAGAGAATTGGTGACAAGAAGTGTTCGTATATTCCTCAATAAGAAGATGATAATTTGATGCTCAAACATCGTGAGCTAGACTTCCCAAGAATACAACGCAGATTGTGTTGGAGAAAAATCGAAGAATAGGGTCGGATGGATATTCTGGGGTTGCTTCGCAGGGCCAGAAAAAGGCCCTTGTTTGTTTTGGGAGAAGGAATGGTGTCCCATTAACTCCCAAAAATATCGCGAGAAGATAGTTCGTCTTATCGATGGCATCGTCTCGATGAGACCTTGGCTTTCCGTAATGCAGGATAATGCTCCTGCCCACACAGCCAACTCGCCTGATCTTAACCCGACTGAAGCTGTTCGGAATAAGATGAAGGATTACATCCAGCATCTTCATCCGAATCTGGGTTGCGGAAAGCAGCGAACTAATGATAGTCTTCGCAAAATCGTAAAGGAGACATGGGATCCCGTGTCTTCCGAAGATCTTGTGAGACTCATTCAGAGTATGCCATCAAGATGTCAGGCTGTGATAGATGAGGATGGAGGACCAACCAAATATCAGGGCCTGAAAATATTCCAGCCACGTGTTCAGATCCAAGGTTAGGACAAGACTGCGGCTCTATTTTGTAATTCGAAAACCTTTGAACTCTTGTAAATAAATTATAAAGTCAAGTAGCAAAAATGCACAAATGTTATGCAGTCGATCAATTTACCAATTAGGTTAAGTACGATGGAAAGACTCACTGCAAACTACGGTGTCCAGAAAATAATTGCCATACAAATTTTTTCGAAAATTTGCACAAATACGGGGGCTAGCCCCAATATGGAAGAAGGCCATGCCTAAGGAGTCTTAGTGTACACACTAAAACCCCTGTCAAAGCTCCACTGCAAACTTGATATCGTGGCACCATAGTAGACCCTAAGTTCAAAACCTTGACGCATTACCTAGTATATATGAAGCTCCTTGGCATCTACTTCCTGAACGGCCACTTCACTCAAGCATAGATAACTTTACCTCAAGCCGGTCGTGTGTGGTGGTTTGCCGCCCTTCTAAATGTCTCTATCATAAACCTTAACTCTGTCGTAAATAGACATTTCAAAGTAATGCTCACGATATTCACGATAGTAGACGTTCATAGAATGTTCCTGCCAGGGAAAATAAAACTCGACATTCATTCCTAAAATTTTCCGTAAAGATTCTTAGCCTATCTACGACTTCTGTTCATTTTCTTTCTCAAAATCATACTTGTAAAGATGTCCTTTGAACACTGTAGAAAAGCTAAAATTTTCCAGCGAAATTGAAAATTTTAGGGTTGCCCCGTTTTCTCTTCTCAAACGTTGATTGTTCTGCCGAGAAGTTCCTGCATTCGGCTCAATTTCTAATATAACTTTTTTAGCGTTAAAAGATATCACTAGGTACAAGTACTACACTGCGAAAAAATTTGGTGCGCTTAATTTGAAGGCATTCTTGCTCAACCACAATTCAATTCTAAAAGGAGTTGATGAGAAGGACTTTAGTATAAAGTCGCGAGCTCATGTAATTTACTTTGATCTTGGTTACGAGACATTTAAGCTCACGAAGTCTTCATCATTCCCATAGGAATTCCACCTGAGAAGCGTTAGATTAATAGGTTATTAGGTGAATAGTGCTTATAGGGAAAGTTACCTGGCATTCCACCGTAGCTCCCAATACCTTGATTTGCCATATTAGGAAAGGAGCTAACTCCACAAAGACAACTGCAAGAGCATACACCACCAGCCATGTTGCCACTTCCGGTAGCCATCTGAGGAGGAGGGGGCGGCTTCATAGGTGACATGTCGGATGGAGGAGGCATTTTTGAAGGAGGCATGTTCGAGGGAGGCATATTCGGAGGTGGAGGTGTCATTTTTGGAGCAGCACCGCCGACAATAGGAGGAGGAGCTCCTTTGTTACTTGATTTGATAGCCAACTCCTTGAAGTCAAGTTGGGTTTTACCTGAACCTTCGGCTCCTGGATTAATCGAGAATGTCATGCCCTTTCCGCAATGGGCAGTTTGTTTACAGTAAAACCCTTTAAAGTAAGCGTACTAAATGGCATGAAGGATTGTAGGTGGACTCACAAAGTGGAGTAGTGACAGTAACCTGAACAGCCATTTCTGGTGCTGGAGATTTTGTATTGTTGACATTGGGCATAAAGCCGGAGTCCATTCCATTCGCAAGAGGCTCGCAAGGGCTAGAAAAAGCTGACTGCGTTGCAGTGTGATTATTCGACATGAACTGAAACACGACCATGTCTCCCACATCGGCTTTTACCTGATCAGGAGTGAAAACTAGTCCAGAACTTCCTCCTACAACAACCTAAGTAATATATGTTAAAATCTACCGAAAATGAATATCAATAATTCCGTACCTTGTGTGTGACTGGATTGGGAGCTGGCATAGCTTCTTTAATATTTTTTACCTTATCATTGCCTCCATTGCTAATCCAAATAATAATAACATCGGCGCCTCCTGCATTACTATGGTCCATGGTGCTTTTTGCCATCGGTGGCTTTTCCATCATGCTTTTGTCCTTACCGCCTTCCATGGGCGGTTTCATCATTCCTGGTTTCTCCATAGGAGATGCATACATTGAGCCCTCCATCGGCGCTTTTGCCATTGATGAACTCTCGCTAGCGGATTTAGCCATAGGTTGATCTGCCGGAGATAATGCCGCTGCTGAGTTTTCCATGGATGATCCATCCATAGATTCGTCCATCTCTTCTCCACTCATGGTGACATCCATAGACTGAGCCTCCATGTCTGTTGTTTCCATTGCTGTCTCTTCAGAGCGAGCTTTATTTGCTGACGCAAATGAAGCTATGCATAGCGTAAGGATGATGTGAAGTCTCATTGTCAAGGTTAAACTCCAAGTATAATGTCGGTGAGTATAAATAAATAATCTTTAACAAAAGTCAAGCCGCACTGCGGTTGCTAATATAATGCGTAAATGTACTTTACCGTTAGAGTATAATGACTGTGGGTGATGAGTGCGTATGAAGATATGGCCGAATGATGTAGACCAGCTATGGATAAAAAGGCCTTGATAGAAAAAAGGAGAGGATGAAGAAGAATGAGCGTATGATTAACTATCTACTGAAAACATATATCATCTGTGGGTCTAGACAAATACTTTAAAGAGCCCTCAAAACAACCACCTGTCGACTTGGCGTCGAAAATCAAGAGATGAAACTCCTTTAGAGTTTTAGCAGGCTGAGTTTCTTGGCGCATGGTCTGAACGATGTGACAGTGAACGAGTTTAGGAAAAGTCGTTCGATGACTGATATAAAATTTTCTTTCATATTTAGTAATCTAGTGACATGACTAATGATATTATTGAAATTCTTGATTCTGTTTAGCCTCTTTAATTTTGAGGGTTTGTGTTGGAACTAGGGTAAGATGTCCTTGAATAATTAAACGTGTCTGGCGATGTTTAGCGAGTCGGAGTCGAAGGTGATGGTAGGGGTTTTGACTACTTCGGCTAGCTCCCCCTTGTATTAATTGACCAAGCATTAGGTGTTACAGAACTGATCATAGGCTGCTTAAATAATATGTTACTATACTTAGGGAAGAGGTTAGATCTGTGTCGCAGATGAAAGTTAGTATCATGACAAATTCTTAGCACTTTCACTGCACAGTGCGGAATATTATGTGTAGGGTACTGAATACGACTTTAGCTCAAGACTAGTAAATCTCCCCTAGATGCTGGAACAAAAGTTTTCCACAAAATTTAGAAATATATGTTCGAATTGAACGATTCTTATCATCACAATGGTTTGTTCAATTTGAAATTTCATTCGGTAGCTCAATAGTCACACATTTGCTGTCGCCAAGACCAGTATTGTTCGCAGAGCCTTCGACTGACAAAGGTCAAGTCGCACATGATTCTTGGTTTCTCGCTTCCGATCAGAAGGTGTGTAGCGATTTAATTATTGGATTCAGAAGGTTGGCTGTGGCGGTTTAGAATTTGCGTATACGTAAAACTTGAAGGATGTATTTAGGGGACTTGACTCGATCTTGGATGAGGCGTAATGAAAGGCGTTAGGATAACTGCGGTGAAACGAAATTCTGAAAGCTGCCCTGAGCTCGTACAAAGCAGGAGTCAGATTTAGTCTCTTCCGGTCTATTGAAATTTTTTTTAACGTGAGATGAGAAAGAGATTGATATTGGCCCGATTCTTGAGGCACTCTGGTAGCTTTTCAGGTCCATGAATCGATTACTTCTTGTGAGTATTCCCTCACTTTTTATGTGAGTTGGCAGCGAGCTTTCATTTATTCTTCTGGGCTGATGATGTAAGTATGGATTCCAAATTTTGTATAGCTGATTGCAGGGAATGGGATAGAGCGTGTGATAGATTGACATGAAATCCTTGAGACAAGATTCATTGCTCTGCCGCTTTGGATTCATGCTGCCCTTCGTACAATCCAGTGTAATAGCCAGCATAGTACCAGGACATAAGTAAGTTTTTCAGTCCCTCGTCATGTACTACGGTTAGGTTTCGTTATTAGCAAATATCAAAGATATATCTGGGTAAGCATCTGCACCTACCTTGTCCTACAAGCATTCTGGGTAATTCTGGCCCGTGAGTATTTTTGTTACTTGCCTTTGGATGGGGTGTTAGAGCGATATTCATATTTGCTTGAGTACTGTTTCGCCTAAGAATCAGGGATAAGACTCACTGGCATCGACTCCGTCGAATTTTGTTGCTTATCAGTATTATCTTGTCCTGCTGGTAAATATTGTCCTGTAGTCTGGATACCACTAATCTTGGGTATACAATCGTCGTTCTTTATCGCACTATTAGACTCTTCAGGTCTTCACCACAATTATGTGAGTCATGTCTCAGCTTGAGATGCTGAATATTTTTGCTTACGGGTCAACAGCAGAATCTTCCGCAGAGTTTAGTATTTCCTCTACATTTTCACCTCGGGCTCTAAGGCTGTGATATTTCTTCAATTATTTGAGAGTCAGGATATGCGTGCAACCCAGAAGAAGCGTTCGTTTACCTTATATTCCTCGAGGGCTTGGTCCCACGACTCGATCAGGGCGGAATCATCCCAAATTTCTGCTTGGGAAATTCCATCAGACATCTTGTTTGGAGTCTACTGTTGATTCAAAAGCTTCAAGAATAAAGCTTAGAATCTGGTGGACAGTAGGCTGCGGTTTGAAAAGGTAATAAAGCGACTGAGCAAATGCCTTTTGCAGTGTCTGGGTAAAATATACGCGAGATATAATCCTGAATAGTTTACATGTGAGCACGGTTCACTCTTGAATAATAACGATGTGTGTATGTGTTTTTTATTGTACAACTTGAGTCTATCTGAGGGCAAGACTGAACACCTGTACGCGGTGCCTTCTACGAACCTAGGTGTGAAATATTCTCCCAGAGCCAAGTTCAGTCAAATTTCGCAATACCGAACAATTTGGCCCGAGGCAATGATTCAAATTACTCCGCCACGTCAATTTTTCACTCCCAAAGAGTCCGACTCCTATCCAAGCCTCATCAAGTCTACAAGTACAACCTAGTACATCCTCATTTCAATGATCACGCCTCTCCTCGAATTTCTCTGGCCTCAGCTTGTCACCGAATACACGCCCACGCCTACATTTATATCCGAAGGAACAAGCAAGGCGTGGAGCACAAATCTGGAAGACAATTCTTTGGGATGGACGTGAGAGGGATATGGACAAGTTCACGAGATAATGCAAAGAAAAGATATAACCTCGACGCACGTGAAATTTCGAATTTTTGGCAAGATGTTTTACGAATTGAGCTTTGTGCGCGCCAAGACTTCGCTTGCGAGAGTGCAGCTGACACTTTAAACACAAGCCGACGATGGAAGGTGTTGTGGTCCGCCTCCTGGTGGTGTTCTCTGGTATAGTTTGAGTAGCCTAGGTACCTACTCCACTTGGGAAGGAGACACCTAAGACCAGATTTCGCGCGGAGAAAAGTTGAAAGATGATGGAGGCATGTCTGGATAACTCAGGGTTTTTGAAACGTTTCTCTGAGTGGGTATTCACGGATGAGGGCTGACTTGGGATGAAGAAAAAAGCCACCATAACTTCGCAGTGGTACTTGCAAATGAAATCTGAGGCATGAGTGCTCTTCTTGTAAATTCAGTCATATTTTACACACTTCTATGATATTGTGCCATATCTAGATAGCTGCATACGCAATTAAAATCTGATGCATACAAAGAAAAAGGTGTCAAGGGCTCGGGCGCGTGGTGGCCGAGGCTGAGGAGGAATTAGCGCTAAAGCGTCTGCACAGCGGGTTTCTGGACGGTCAGGCTTGGTACGATTCAACACATAGGTGAAGTCTGAGGTGGTCAGGCCCTTTGGATGAGACGATGTTTATCAGTAATTCACGGTAGTTGACCGGATCCGGCCCGGCCCCATTCGTGCTTAAGCTCTTGTAGGAGTGCAACGGTATTCACTTTACCTAGCACGTTAATGAACAGCCAAACCATTAGTAGTGCTTATATTTGTTAATTTTCATTGTATTCTCTGAGTTGGCACAATCCAGATATAACTATCTCAACTATTGTAAAATATTAATATTTTTGGAATTGCTTGCGTGCAGTGACTGTTTGCCTTAACCGTTCACAATGTGACACGGAAATGGTGAATATACGGGCTGCAGAGATAAGTCAGGTGACAATTGTTGGCAGTTATTGATGAAGCATTCGTTAGATATGTCTCTTGCAATTTCTGCGTTAGAATACACACAATCGATCACACTAGGCTCCATAATAGGTAGTCTCCACTGGCATTAATCAAGCGCGGAGGGGCATATGGTAACACCGCACAAGGACGGAATATACGCTAGTAGCAACAGTCTAAGCGGGGGGACTATTCTCAACACCTGCCAGTGGTGTCCCCTGTAAACCTCCAGCTCTCACTGTAGAGTCTGCAAAGCCGAGATTGAGTAGCAAAGTCCTCACTTCGACGAGGATTCCCAATCGCTTTCGCCGTCTGTATCGTCTTCATCTCTCATCACATCCCCCTATCGCCATTATCATGAAGCTAACCACGATCAGATCAGATGGTAGGGTCGGAGCTCTACTCATCACCAAACCTTGATCACGGAGGAGAAGCCATCCGATGAGTTTCTGGAGCGTACCCAACACCCGATACGGAGATGGCGGATTGGATCAAGTAGACCTCAACTGTTACAAAGATGGGAGATATCGATGAATATGCGCACCTCATATGGTCCAGGTATCTAGGCCTCGCCTGGCTGGGGCTGCAGGTTTTTAGAGACTTTTTCCGCGCACGCAGTTTCCGCTATTACATTTTTTTTGAATTTGATTTCATTTAGCCAGATTCGGCGCCATTTGGGCCCATCCAGGTGTCTACGAACTTTAATATTTACATAGGAGGAAACCTTGCGGTAAAAACCTCCTTAGCTGTCTGACTTGACTCTGCGCGATTATGGTCTTACCTCTAGGAAATGCACTCACACTGTTGTTGCCAGTGTGGATTCCGTCCTTGTCCTGTGTATCCATTTTCCTCCCTTCGCCTGATAAACGCCTCGATTTCACCGGTCATCCGAAACTGCTCTAGCCATTCTTCCTTTTGAATCCACTGTGCAATTCTTATCATATCTTTGACGTTATTTACCATAGCTTCGAAAGATCGAGTTGTCGATTTTTGTAGCACATCGCCTCTTACTTTTGCCTATCTTGGACAATACATCACCACGTGCTTTATATTTTGGGACGGATATCCACATTGGCAGCATGATTTTCGTACTCCTGACAAATTTCTTCCGTATCAGTAAGCATTGAGCCCAATGTGCTCGCTTCTTGTGTGGCAATGATGCTCTAGGCCCTGTTAAGGTTTTGGTGGATTTGGATAGGTGACAATCTATAGTTCATCATAAGCCTACCTGTTTTCTCGTCGTTATATAAGTTTGCAGCTTTCCACCCATTACTATATTGTTTTGCTGTTTAAGGTAGAAGATTTTGTGGAAAAGATACCGAATTCCACCGGTAAATACTGAGCTGAATGGCTATTCATCACGGGCAATATATCAATGGTCTTTCAAGAAACAAAAAGGGATAGGAGCACTGTATAAGATGTGGCCTGGTTCAAAAAGGAGTCCAATATGCTAGATAGTCTATGTCTGAAGTAGTATAATAAACATATATGTCAGTTGTTGACCCCCTCTTTACACCACGTGCCTCCGTTCATCAAACGATGCGTTTCCAATCACCCCGTGACCAATCACGTGAGATAACTACCGAATTTTTCTCAGTTGTCGCCAAGTAACGCATGTAATTCACATATTATCATCGATTTATTGCAATTACAATTCAATTTTATTTTCACAATGGGTAATACAGGTAAGGAGAATGGTGAATCCCACAATTTATATTCCCAACATACCCTTTTGCTAATAAAATATAGATTCATTGAAGTCATCTGAAGTTAACAAAAGGTCCAAAAAAATTACCAAGGACGTCACAAAAATTTCTTCCAAAAAGCGTAAAGGTGCTACATATTTTTCATTGGATAAAAACAGTGCTAATGAAGATTCATACAGCGACAGATGAAATAACCAAAAAAAAACACAAAAAAATATCATCACCACAATCAAAGTCAAGTATGACAAAAGAAGTAAATTCGTCTCAGAAAACACGGGAGATCGAGCGTGAATCAAGTTCACCATCTGCGGATGAATCAGAAGAAGTCGATGATCAAACGGATGCGCTATTACGAGGATTTCAAAGTGATGAGGAAGAGGGCGAGTCATTGGACGATTCAAAGATCCCTCATCTAACTATACCCACCCGAAAGGAAGTTAGCAAGGTTCAAGAAAAAATCCTCAATGATATTGCAAAATCTGGCGCACATGAGAAGCCAGGAGTTGTATATGTCGGTCGGATACCTCACGGATTTTACGAAAATGAAATGCGGGGATATTTCAAGCAATTTGGAACTATAAGCAAGCTTCGTCTGTCACGTAACAAGAAAACTGGTGCTAGCAAACATTATGCATGGATTAAGTTTGCGTCAGCTACTGTGGCTGAAATTGTTGCGAAAACAATGGATAATTATCTTATGTTTGGTCATTTATTAAAGGTCAAGCTGGTTCCAGATGAACAAGTTCCAGAAGCATTATTCAAAGGTGCGAATAAAAGATTCAAAAAGATTCCTTGGAATAAAATAGAAGGGAGAAGACTTGCACAACCTACCTCCGAGGAGGTATGGAAGATCCGGATTGAAAGAGAAGAAAAGCGGAGGCAAGAAAAAGCTGAAAAATTGAAGAAAATTGGGTATGAATTTGAATCTCCCCAAATAAAATCAGTCTGTACTATACAAAGGGAAGAAGTAATTTCAACCTGCATTGATGTCAATTGTGGATAGTCAAATAATAAACCTAACCAACCATCTACTTATGTCCTAAAATTAATCATTTTCAGCTCCAAATTCAAAAGTAAACTCTACATTGAACGTATTTAAAGAAGTTTTGTCTTCTGATTTAAATAATCAACAAGATTAATTCAAGAACCTAAAATTCTGCAAAACCGCAAGCTCTTCAATCCTGATAATAGATTATCATAAAATACACTCAAAAGCGCTTTGTTGAACAACACTCTCCAGAATTCTATTTCTTCTCAAAATACATTCAGTTAACACTTGTGTCACTCATGGTGGTGATTCTTTAAAGAAAAATTAGTTGTATTCAGCTATTTAACGATGATACTCTGTCTCAACATTGAAAAACTATTAGCATAACAAAAATAATAACTCTTCACATCCTCGTCCCCTATGATGGCCATGTAAGTGCCCATTTACAGATAGGTATGAAAGCCTCTCATCCAATAACATTTATGTCCGACCATCTCCTAATATTATAACTGTTGTATCATAAATGTGGATTCTTCAAAATCCAGAGAAGCGGTATAGTCACCTGCATGGTAAATGAGTTTTTTGTGTTAATAGGTAATAATAATAATTGTTGGAATTTAGAATCATTGGGGCTATCGAGTAGGCTACGTTGTTAATACACACGTGACTACAAATTCTGTACTTAGTTTCACTTCGGTAGTTACTTCAATCAATGCGCTCTACAACCTCAATGACTGAGGGGTCATTATTTCCTTAATAATAATAATTATTATTCAATATCCTGATTTAGCGCCTCGAGGCCCATGCAGGTTATATCGGAAGATATGTACTTTAACTAGGATGTCTCAATTTGACGTTTAGAAGGCCCACACTCAGATTTCATTTGCAGATACCACTCGAGGTTAACCCTTACGGCTTAAAACCTCATCCGTGCATACCCATCCAAGGAAAAGCGTAAATACCTTTTGGTTATCCAAGTGTGCTTTCATCAACACACAAGTACAATATCACGGCGAGAGAGTGTGGTGGGTGGGTTATACTGGATTCGAATCAGCTATATTATGTCTCAAATGGGGTAGGTGTTCAAGCTACCCAGTAACTAGTTAGGAGAACGGCCCAAATGGTCTACCACTGCACCATCCAACCCGTCAATAGGTAATAGTCACATGACTTGGTGCGGCTTGCTGTGTCGCCCACAGGGCAGACACGCCCGCAAGTCGAAATACGTACGACATTTCGCCGGCACACCAACTAGGGCATTCGACAAAGGATGGGGGATCGGTCCTTCGGACTTGAGCTCTCAGTCGCGTTTTCGACCTCCACGGTTAGGGGTACGGCAGCGACTGGGCAAGGCCGGAGGGGTAGATAATCTACAAAGTTTCCGGGATGACGAGATCTGCTGAAGGATAGAAGGATGCTGCATGAAGGAATTAAAGGGAATACAAACTGAGGAGGCCTTGGTGGGCGACTGGATGAGGCCTCCAGGGAAGAAAACGACCCATGGATGAGATGAGCCAAAGCTGGGAATGATTTGTATGGAAAAGTTACAGATTGCGGAGGTGTCAAGGGCTCGGGTGCGTGGTGGCCGAGGTTGAGGAGGAAATTGTGCTACGGCGTGTATACAGCGGGTTTCTGGACGGTTAGGCTTGGTATGATTCAACACATGGGTGAAGTCTGAGGTGGTCCGGTCATTTAAGTGGGCCGAGGTAGATGTACTAATTGTAGTTAACCTGATCCAGCCCGGCCCTACCCGTGCTTGAGCTCCAGTAGGAGTGCAACGGGAATCACTTTACCTAGCACGTAAATGAACGAGATAAATGAACAAGACGCCCACAAGTCGGAATAAAACAAGAGTAATCAACACACCATCGATAGATACATTGCCTACACGTACACGTGTATGTTAGCGACCGATAATCTCCCTATTTCTTTGGCTCTCTTGCCATAAAGAGAATGATCGTAAATATCGGAAGAACGGAATTTTGCTTTAAAGAATGTCATATCACCCTCAAAAAAGGGTGAAGTATGTTTTGTTTTGTTTTGTTCATTAACGTGCTAGGTAAAGTGATTCCCGTTGCACTCCTACTGGAGCTCAAGCACGGGTAGGGCCGGGCTGGATCAGGTTAACTACAATTAGTACATCTACCTCGGCCCACTTAAATGACCGGACCACCTCAGACTTCACCCATGTGTTGAATCATACCAAGCCTAACCGTCCAGAAACCCGCTGTATACACGCCGTAGCACAATTTCCTCCTCAGCCTCGGCCACCACGCGCCCGAGCCCTTGACATCCTCATTCACTCCGAAATATAAATGTCGTCCAAGATCTCATCGTTGCTCTAGCCTTGCACCTTCATATCGTACCGTTGAGTTGTTTTCGTCATTGGGGTTTTGTGTAATCCCCTCGGTGTATCTTCCCTTTTCTTCCTCCTTTTTACACGTCCCGTTTCCATCATGACTTTCCTCATTAGAGCGTATGTAGGTAGGTGATCGGGCGAGTATAGAAGTGGGTCGCAGGTATAGGATCGACTGAGAAATGCTTCGTCGCAAATATAAAAGGGGTTTGAGAGATGTCGGATGTTCGAATACGACCCCCAGACGGACTTAGGCTCATTCGTGAATCGTATGTTGGTGGTAATGAGTTTTTGTTCGATTTTGTCCCGGCTCTGAAATCTCTGCCGACTGATTTTTCGACCAAAAATATCGAGTGCAACTCCTTCAAGTCGAAAATCCATCAAAAAAAATCATCCCACACTTTTTCGTGACTGAATCTCGGCTCTGGGAGAATATTTCGCTCCCAGGTTCGTAGAGGACACCATTGACAGGTGTTCAGCCTTCGTCGGGGTGAAGTATGTTGTTGAGGCTGTAGGAAATTATATCAATTTGCTCTGCACTAAGCATAGTGCATCTCTCAGTTGCTGAGTCATTATCTTGATGACTCAGCCAATGCCACGAACTACACGTTCGCAATGTTCATAGATAGACAAGTACAAGAATCCATACCTCACTTTCGTACCTTTCGTTTTGCATTGAATTAACCTTACGTGTACGTAGAATAAGGCCAATCGATAGAGGCCAAAATTTTTACATTGCATGCCCAAAAGCGCTGATAATTTTTCCGAATCGATTCCTGCCAGATATTTTTTCGGTTTGGAAACTCAGACACATCATTGCGAGCATTGTTTTTAGTTCTAGATAGCCTCTGAAGAATAGGAGATAGCTTAGAAAATCTTCACAACCAACTAAGGGGTTGCTTAGTCTTTCTCTTGACACCCTCTTCCGTATTTCACACGGTGGTTGTACATAGGATTAATAAGTCATTTCCAGTACATCAGAGGGTGCTAACCATGGCGACTTCAAGTAGAGGGGACGAAATATTGTTGTGTTTTGGCATTTAAACCCTTCCCAGTAGTTTCGAATGAAGTATAGGTCATGAATGAGGTGAATATCTAGAAGTCGAAAAATAAACGACATATGTGCAAGTAGTTTATTGTGTACCAGAGTTGATCACAGATTAATTATCTTTAATTCTACACGCCAAGAGAATTTCTTTGGAAAACTTGGAGTTGGTTCATTGAGTAATTCAGATAAGTTGTCCAGCTCTAGGAGCTATTTAACTTTGGGACGGGATACTGGGGTTAAGCAAGGTTGGTTTCAAAGTAATGGCAAATTTGGATCTTGATTTTTAAACACTAAAGATCTAGGTGACACACCATTATTAAATCCAGTTCGAGAGCCGCTTTGCCTTGCTTTGAAAGTAAGAAAAGAGGTTGAAGTAGGTAATAAAAGATATTTCAGTCCCAAAATCATAGCTCCCCCATGATAAGGATTCGGCTCAATTTACTTGAATGATCTACACGGATAACTATAAAATATTCAGAATATGTTGGAATAAATTTTCTGGAGGAGCCCACCTTTCTGGATAAGAATTTTCTGCAGTGAGCTGGTATTTGTCGGCCCCTTGTTTCTTTAGGTTTACACTACATGGAAAAGGAGGCAAGCCGTCTTTCCCTAGAGCTGCTAGTGTTCCTATTTTACCTTCTTTCTGAAAGTATGCAGCTAATCCAAGCTCACCCTCTTTTTTCACATCCACGAGTGCCTTGATCCCGGATTCTCCGATCAATTCGCTTTTTGGGTCGTTTCGGCTGCCGAGAGTTAACAAGCCAACAGCGTCATTTTGCGTGATAAATGATAATTTTGGGTAGTTTCTTCGCATGTCGCGTTTCCAGTATGGGTTGTCAGCAATATCTCCAGCGGGGATCGTGACTGGGTCAATAAATGAAAAGGGCTCATTGGATCCTGGAGGAGGGTTGCGGAATTGAGGGTTGAGCGGCACACCATTGGAGCGGGATGAGTCGACTGCAAATATTCGTCGAATCCGTTCCCATATTCCATAAGATTGAAGGGTATACTTCTACTCAATAATGAACGCCTGTGAGCATCAATTTCGGGTATTTGGATCAGCGATTAAGATTGAAAAATTGAAAGTCAGAAAGTGCCTTACTTTGTGGACAGGTATGACTCTAGCAGTAGCCTGTGCTGCTCTTTCAGCCAAAATTTTAGCCATTATACGTCGGCTGATAGGAGTTACAAATCTTGGTATCCTGGAATTAGGTTATTTACTTGTTGGATAGCTATCGTGGCACCAGATTATAGGTAGTTTGCAACGATAAGGTAAATGGCCAAATTCGTAGCATGTCCTTCGGTAAAATATAACGCTAAAACCAAAATATAGTCCAAGCACCCTCTTCACCGACGCCTCAATCAAAACAGAATCTCCTGGCAGCAAAAAAGGGAGGCTGAACAAATATGATTGGTGTTCCTTACCAAACTGGGAGTGAAATATTTTCTCAGAGCTAATTTCAGTCACACTGCGTAATTCTAAAGAAATTGGTCCACGAGACAATGATCCAAGACACTCTCTAAACATATTGATATCCAAATTTACAATTAACTTCAAAGCCATTTAAGAAGTTTCTGGCTGTCCTTCATAGTCATAGACTCAGGAGGGACATAAATAAAATTCTATTCTATCCAAGACTCTTCGCCTAATCAATTTCTCCCCCTCAACGAGATCGATCTTCACTAAAGCCTCATCAAGCTTGCAAGTACATCTCAATACATCCTCAATACATCCTCAATCCAGTGACCACATCTCTCTTCCACTTCCACTTCCACTTCCTTTCGCCTCAGCTCGGTATCAAATACACGCCCACGTCGATGTTAACATTCGACGGAGGTAACAAAGCGTGGCGCACAAATCTGGGAGACAGTTCTTTGGGATGGATGTGAGAGGAATCAGTAAATGTTTAAAAGATGATGCAGATGATAGTTACAATCTTGGCGGGTGTGAAACCTTGAAAATTTGCGAGAAGATTTGTAATTTGAGCTTTATGCGTACCAAAACATCGATTGAGATGGTGCAGGCGACACTATGAACAACGCTATGGTTGGATGGTGCGGTGGTAAATCGTCTTGGCTTGTCTCCAAAGTAGATTCCGGATAGCTTGGACACATAGCCTACTCTAGACATGAGATTGCCGGTTCGAATCCGGCAAAACACAACCACGTTTCTCGCGGCGCTGGTGAACATGGATGACGAAGGCATGCTTGGATAACCAAAGCCTTTGAAATTTCCCCTAGTTAGGTACTTATGGAGGATAGTCGGCTGTTTGTGTAGGCAAACATACCTCATAGCGGTATTTGCGAATGAAATCCAGTGTATGAATGTCTCTAACGTCAAAACAGTCATCCAACACGAACACATAGAACCGGCCTTTATTTTTTACTATGTTAAAGTCCTAAGCTAAAGCTCCAGGTCCACTATAGATACAAGACTGGTGGTGCCGACGGGTTCACTGCTTACAGACCCAGCTCATTCCAACCGCGACACCCGCTACAGAAATAGTAGAAGGTAAATTACAACTCAAAAGACACCACCTACTCCGACTCCGAAATCGAGACTCTGTTCTTCAACGCTAAATTCAAGTAAGTAAAATTTTCCTCAGAGAAACGACACTTTTCGTCCCGTTCCCTTTCGTCTCATGCATGGTGGCAATGACTAGTTTCTCTGATCCCCGCTTAGAGCAGTGAATGAATGGGAAGGTTGGCTACCGAAACAGCCGGTTTCTTCCGCAAATATTTTGAATCTTTCGTGGCACTAGGGCCCGAGAAGCTTTTTGATAAAGTCAACGTGGGACATCGAATTTCGGAGCCTACGCGTGAGTTGTGCGTGGTGGCTACAGTGGATGAAGTGGGTTGGAGTAGTTTCCTTCCCGCAAGTACACTCCCTAGGAGCGTATGGGTTGTCAAAACGGCGATGGTTTGCCGCAAAATTGCCATGTCCTTTTCGGTGTGACGAAACCAAGCTAGGAGGGCAAGACTGAACACCTGTACGCGATGTCCTCTACGAACCTGGGAGTGAAATATTCTCCCAGAGCCAAGTTCAGTTAAACTTTGCAATACCGAACAAGTTGGCCCACGAGGCAATGATTCAAAATACTCCACCATATCAATCTTTCACTCCCAACGAAATCGATTCCTACCTAAGCCTCATCAAGTTTACAAGTACGACCTAGTACATCCTCATTCCAATGACCACACCTCTTTTCGACTTTCTCTGGCCTTAGCTTGTCACCAGATACACGCCCACGCCGATATTTACACCCGACGGAGGAAGCAAAGCGTGGCGCACAAATCTGGAAGACAATTCTTTGGGATGGATGTGAGAGGGATCAGGACAAGTTGATAAGATGATGCAGATGATGGATGCAGTCTCGACGGGCGTGGAATTTTGAGTTTTGGAAAGGAGTTTTTACAAAATGAGCTTTGTGCGTGCCAAGTCTTCGGCTGCGAGAGTGCGGGCGACACTATAAAAACTGCCATGGTTGGATGGTGCGGTGGTACATCGCCTTGGCCGGTCTGCCAAGTAGAGTCTGGATAGCTCGGACACATATCCCACTCGAGACAGTTGATCGCTGGTTCAAATTCAGCAAAACACAACCACTTTTCTCGCGGCGCTGGTATGCATGGATGACGAAGGCATGCTTGGACAACCAAAGGGTTTGAAATTCCCTTTGGTGGGTACTAACGGAGGAGTATCGACTGTTTGTGTAAGCGAACATACCTCATAGTGGTATTTGCGAATGAAATCCAGAGTATGAGTGTCTCTAACGTCAAAAGAGTCATCCCACATGTATACATAGCACCGGTCATGTGTCATAGCTAGATAGCTGAATACACATTAAATGAAAAAAAAAAAGAAACCAAGCTAGTTTTAGTGTACTTTTGGAAAGATTAAAATATATGAAGAGAGAAGTACCACAATTACTGGTAATGACTAGTTGTACATTGTAAGGATTCTTGAGAAATCCCTCAGGCAGGATTTATGGGTTCCTTATTTAATCCCACTAGTCTTTATTGCTTAGCGAGGGCACCGATGTAGTTTCCATTTCCGAGTCTGATATCTTCACGCTTTGTTTTCTGTCTTTAGGAATAGTTGCATTATTCTAATCACATCTCACTCTCGTCCTCTGCAAAACATAGTGACCTACTGTCACCTCCGGCCCCTCTATCTAGAACGACTCCCCGCTTTCCATTTTACCACTCCTCTAGAAAGCCCTCCGCGTTACCACGAGGCGTCCTTCCTCAGTACATCCTACGCTACGCCCTCTCCAACGCCTCGAGTCCTGCGCCTAGTGAACCTGCGCCTGACATACATCCTTCTAGCTCATCCAGTGCGTACTCTGTTGGTGAGAATGACATATTGCTCCGCCACTGCCCGTCGTCATGTTTGCCATCTAGTTGACTCTCTCACTTGGCAATTCTACTTCGCTGTCTCACATTCCTTCCTAGCTCCAATGTAATGTGGCCAAGTGAAACTTAGTCGCTTGATACAAGATAATATGTAATACTCTCCCTAATACGCCCCAAAACTCCGCTTAGGTCTCCATCTGAGCTAAACCACGGTCAAGCCGTAACACTCGGGCTGCGATTAGTTCGCAATAGATGCCTAGAAAGTGACAGCTCGGGCAGTTTGCGTCTCCGAACAATCAAGTTAAGTTGGCAGTATTTAGATGGACAACCTCTTCCCACCAGTTTTCGAGCTATCTCTATCGTCTATGATTCATGACTCTTTTGCACCACCATGGCTAGCAAATAATATGGATACTAAAAAAAGTAATTCTTCTAAGCATGCAGCAAGGGATGAGCATATTCTTTTGCTAAAAGAAATCCCAAATCATGCATCAATTGTATACACAGATGGTTCTCTAACAAAAAGCAATGGAAGTAGCCTTAGATTTGTGGTATACTTGCCATTCACAAGACAGGTGAAATGTTTCTCTTACAATCTTGGACACACAATGACAATCTCAGATACTGAGACATATTGTATCTTGAAAGCTTTAAAATATGTCATCTCCAATAAACATTCCAGAGAGATCTGGGTCTTTTCTGATAGTCAAGCAGCAATTCAAAGGGTCAGCAAAGCTAGTAACTTTATTTCACATCAAATAAGGATAAAAAGCCATAAATATCAAATTCATCTACACTGGTGTCCAGGCCATGAAGGTATTGCTGGGAATGAGCTAGCAGACAATCTGGCAAGAGATGGAGCCAAGAAAAAAGTCAATAAAAGAGTTAAATTCACAACAATTGCTTACCTTAAGCAGAAGGCAAAGGAAATGACTCTCAAAGCCTGGCAAAATGACTGGGAGACCCAAGTCTTGAGACAGGAAGAGGGTAGAAGGAATAAAGGACTGGGAAGGCTTTATCAAGTGCAAGCCAGGAAAAGATCACCTATAATAAAGATGAGGCCATACAACTTCAGTCATCACAGTAGAATGACTCAATCTTCATTTATACAAGCGAGAACAGGGATTGGAAATACCAGGGCCAATTTATTTTGAATTAAAAAAGTGAAGGATAACTCTTGCAACTTTTGTTGGAAGGGAAAACAGACTGTTCAACACCTACTTCTTTATTGTAGTAAGTTTAAGATTGAAAGAAAGGAAGCTTTTAAAGGTATACTGCCATTGAGATTAGAGATATTGTTTAATACAAAAATTGGAAAAGAAGCAACTCTCTATTTCTTTCAAAGCAGTGGATGCATGAATGCATCCAAAGCTGACTGAAAGGGAGGAGACTAGTAGATAAGTAGAGGAATTGGGGATTGAATACTTGTGTTTAGATATAAAATAATCAGATGTGTCATAGCTAGATAGCTGAATACACTATGAATTAAAAATTAAAAAAAAAGATTCATGACTCCACACTGTATGATAGAGTACTAAATCCTGGTTGTTTATCCGGGTTAGGCAATTCTCGAAGTGCTGGATGGGTAATGGCGCCTACTTCTTCATTTCCTTGGATTCCTGCATGCCCTGGAACCCACTTCACTGATATTTATGCCTTGTTGGATATTACGGAATTTGCGTATATCTTCTAGGCTAGTTAGGGACGATCCCGTCACAAGCGCCCATACTGCTTACTGACTGTCTAGAAATACGTGTATTTGCCACAAACCTCCACCTTTCTTAGACTGCTCATCCTCCGTGAATTACAGTG